CCCCAAAACCCCAAAACCCCTAGAGACTAACATTGGCTAATTTAGAGAAATCGATCTTACTATAAATGAAAAATTATTGGCTTTAAAACAGGAATTTTATTCTTTCCGATATCACTTTTTTCTTGGATTTTTGGGGCAACCCTCGTCTGTGAGATGCTTTTTCCAACCTGATTCACCAGGCTTAATATCTTAATGGCAAAGAGGGCATCTATTAGCGGCTTTGAGAGGTTTATTAATGAGACAGGACTTATCAGCTACATGCTACTCGTATTCAGCTACATTTACGCTCTCCTTGCATCTGCCACATTACTTAAAGTCCTTGGCCTTATCACATTCATTCAACAGATGCTGATTATAAGTTGATATTTCGATGACCTGACTGCAAAATGTGCATTCAGTAAGCATGATGCACTCTCTCCAATAATGCATGTCAATATTTTCACTCTGGGCGAAAGCTGAGTCATTTTTACCACAAAATTGACACTTTTTAGTTAAATCATCTTTACCTGCCAATCTTGACTTCTTCTATTGTGATGTAGGTTTACTCAGAGCAGCTGTCTTAGGATTACCTTGGATAGATTCTCTTTAAGGTGATCCTTTAATTTTTAGAGTAGCAGGATCAACACCATCAATTTCAGCAAAGCCAGTCTCAAGCAGCTCAAGTTAAGCTGGTCTAAGTCCAGTTAGAGATTTTCTAATATTAGCACCGATAGATCTATAAATTTCAAGAATAACATGGTATGCCTGATTTCTGATTTCTCCACTTTGATGTTAAAATCCATGAATGGCATATTCAAGGCATTATTGATAGTTTATGTTGTGTTTATTTACTGGATATTTTTCAAGAACTTTATGTAAGAGTTAAAGTCTGCCTTATATGTGCTTTATTGAAAAAGCTGCTGATTTTTTCACTTAGCCTTTCATAATTTGGGAGCATACAGTCTAGGCCCCAAATGATTTGTGTCCTGCCATCATCAATAAAAGTTCTTCAGCTTTTTCTCTTACTCTAGCATTATTGTCTCCTAATCTGACGAATAGTTGATTAAAGACCATTGCAGATGAGTTACCTGGGTCCATTTAGGTATTACAGCATTTTAAAGTTGTTTGCAGCAGTGACATACCTCTTTGAATAATTTGAGCAATTTTGTCTCCCATTGCCTAGCCTGCAGCACTCAGTGCTGCTTGAAACACTGGAGATTCACTATTGTTCTTTTTTATATGCTCCTCACATTCTTTTAAACCTTCATCTCTTAAGGCCCAAGGTCTAGAAAACATTTTTTTGACAGTTGCATCTCCAAATATTGGTATCAGTGCTTCAGCATATTTCATATTTTCAGGAGAAATTTCTTCAACTTTACCTTCTTCTCCCTCTTGACCTCCTTCTCCGTTTCCTTCATCTAATCCTCCCTTTTTACCAGGGCCTTTACTCAAAGTTGGGATTACTTAATCATCATAAGCAACAGAGGGTCTGATTGGTACTTCTTTTATGTCAGGAAGCAAACTCTGCCTACCTGCATCCTGCTTGCTTAATTGCAAATCTTGAATCTTAATTTCCTCATCATGATGAAAACCACTAGCATTCATATGATGATTTCTTCCAAATTCCTAGCTTCCATCAAATCCAATTTCATCACCCTTCTTCTCTTCATATTAATCAAAGTTTCCTCTGCCATACGGATTAGCATTATTTAGTGGTGGCAATTATTATTGCTACATTCCCATTGGTAGAGCCATATTTTGAAGAGTATCAGTGCCACCCATCATATTTCCAAGTCCGAATGAAGTAAAATTTGTGTTACCAGTGACTGGCGCACCTTGTCCATAGTATTATGGTGGAAATTGGGGTGCTTAAAAATGAGGATACATTACTGCGCTTTTTAGTTTTTCAATCTCAACCTTTATAATTTTTGCAGCATCATAGTCTTCACTCTTAATAGCCAATAACTTTCTTTCTTCTAGTTATGAAATTTAAGTAGAAACTGTCTTTAGCCTTTCAATAGTGTCTCTTATCCTTTTAGCTTCATCAAAATCGTCCATTTGTACTGCTCTTTCTTTGGCAGCATATAATGCTTTCAATGTTTCAAGAGTATTTTTGTCTAGACTTAATTCTTCCTCAATGTTTGTGACAGGCCCTTGCATGCTTTAATTCACTAAGGATAATCTGTTTTAGGCATTTGAACCTGGAGAACCGTGCATTACAGCTCCATGCATTTCCCCCATACAGTTTACTGCAATTAAACCGACCTGATTGTAAAGATTATATTTGTTGACGAAGCACTTGTGAAAGACAAGCTTTAACAGAAGAGTAACTGAGTCTACATACACACTCTTGAGCTCTCTTGCCTAGAACTGAGATCTTTCATTAGAATCTAGACTTAAATATCCAAGCTTAGTAAATTTGATCATATTCAGAGGAATTTAGGTACTCAATGCTTGAGTTCCAGTTGGGACATATGTGTGTAGCTCTATCTTCTGGGAAATTTTAGATTGATGCGATAAGAACTGAATCTGCTTGAGTCTGACAATATTAGTAAATTGAATTATTATTTCCTAAGGATACTCGCAGAACTTCGGACTCTACCAGCCCCTACTCTAAGGTGAGTTGTCTAAAAGTTCAGTCACTGGATACTCAGGATCCTCGCCTACAAATTTATAAATTTATGGAAGTCTTACCAGAGCAATATACAATTCTATACTTGAGTTTATACAAATTTATCTTTCCAGAATTTGCCATTACTTTACGAAACTCTTTTAATTATATTAAAATTAAAATATGCAAAAATATAATAGCAATTAATTAATAACAATTCAAGATAATTATACAGTTAGTAATCCTAAAAAATGTCTCTAGGATTTAATAAAAATTAACGTAAGCCATCTAATTCAAATCTCCGCGAGGACAGTCTTAACCAGAGCTAAGTTATTAACTAACTTTCAAGGAAAGAAAAATCAGTGAGTTATCAAGACAGAGCTAACACCCTGAAAAATCTAGATATAATTTAGAAAAGAATGCAGAGCTCGAAAATCCAAGAGGAGCTGAATCACTAGAAATTCAAGATTGAAAACTATCAGATGATAATAGATAGCAGGTAGAAAGAATACCAAAATCTTATGATACAAAACATCAGCAATAGAAGGAAAATAGCATTAATGCCCCAAATTAGAGTTAAAAATCTAAGCTAAGATCTAGATGTGGCAAAGGAATTGTTTATGAATAAAAATTAAAAAAGCAAAAATTAGGATGATTAAACTCCGCTTAACAAGAAGCTTACTTCATCTTTTGACATTCAAGAGCCTTCAGTAGCTAGACAACTTAAGGATAAATCATTTGAAAGCTAATCAGTCTACTAATCATTTATTAAGGAAAAGATGGATATGAAGGAATAGAGATACCATTCGACAAAGTAGAAAATACTAAACTTTGACACAATAGCATAGTTGAACGAATCTTTGTTTGAACCTAAGATTAAGATCACCATTTCACCAGTGAAACTATAGCACTACAACAGTAAACCAGTGACTCCATTAAATATAGTAGCCTATGACAGTAAAAGGTTAAAAACACCATAAAGCAGGATCTAATATAGCGATATCTAAATTCAACTTAAACGAATGCAACTAGAAAGTTCTTAAATGGGTTCTACCCATGTCAGTTCATTTCAAATAGACCAAGCAGCAGTCTAAGCCAAGAGACCTGGAACTACTTTTACCTCTGCTAGCAATAATTACTTCTAGGGTAGAAGAAGATCTATGAACAACTCAACTAACATAGTTTAGCCAATATAGAATATAAAGTACACTAATAAATTCTAGTAAGTGCCTCAAACAAGAGATGCTTTTATGCAGTTTTATAATCTAAAGCGAGAAGGTCACATAAATCCTGAAGAAGCATTGGCCTACCTGAATCGAGACCCTGTCAGCTCTAATGAAGTTATGGAATGCAGAAAGGGATGTGTGATATTGAGATCAACTCATGATCAAAGAATTTATATGTTTGGAGGTAGAAATATCGGTCCAATGAGCAAGCTTGAAATCTATGACCCTAAATGGAAGTGTTTCAAGCTTATGCAGTAAGAGAACGCTTCTTAAATCAAAGGTCGTTTTAACCATAGTATGGTGAATTTCTTTAATAAGTTAATTGTCTATGGAGGCTAAACTTGCAGTACTTATTCTCAATCTAAATCCTAATGTCTTAAGGATATGATAGAGTATAATATAGATCAATAAAAATGGCATGTAATACAGCAAAATAAACTGTAAGTATATGCTCGTAGAAATCATACTGCTTTCATTATGAATAAATTCATGGTCATTTTCGGAGGAATCAATGACTTTAACCAGCATTTGAATGAAACATTGATATATGATTTACTCAAAAACGAATGGGTGGAAAATGTTAAAATAGAGGGACTTGAAATGCCTCATCTTTCTAACTCAGTAGGAATGGGATGCTTTTATGATCAGAGGGTAAATGAAGATATCAAATTTATTGATTCCCTGCCAGAAATAAAATGGGACTTGAGTTCAAGATTCATATAGGTTGAGGGTTTCTACATGTTTGGAGGATTACAATCAGACGGATCTGCTTCAGATGGTCTGTGGCTATTAAAATGTGAAAAAGGTTGTTTACGCTGGGTAAGAGGAGAATAAATTACCAAAGGTCAGAAGCCAAGCGGCCGCTACAGCCACTCGATGACTTTATACGAAAGAGAAAATGCTTTGATTATTTGTGGTGGCAGGAATGACAGACAAAAGATGGTCTACAATGACTTGCACATGCTCACTTTGGATAACTTGAACTGGATCAATGTAAAGTTAGTTGGTGAAGGAATGATAAATCGAGCTGACCATCACATAGTGCCAGCAGACAGTACGAATGACTTTGTCATTTTGGGTGGAATCGATAAAAGTTATTAACTATCAAATAAAATTACATTTTTGACTTTTGACAAGGATCAGATAGATTACTATTAGAGATAAAATGTTAGCCAACCTAATTATATAGATAGATACTAGTGATTATGGAATATATTATGCATTCAAAAAATAAAGATAAAATATAATGATATATTTTGAATATTAAATAATGAATACTTAACTAATTTCAATCTATACATTGGGGTTTTGGGGTTTTGGGGTTTTGGGGAGATCGGAAGAG